GGCATAGAGAGCATCAGATCCCTTAAAACTGGAGTTGCATGTGGTTGTGAGCTACCTGACATGGGAGCTGAGAACCAAACTCCAGTCCCAGTCCTCTGTGAGAGTAACAAGCTCTTTTAATTGCAACACCCCCCCCCAGAAAAAAAAAGGAACAAATGGATGAAAAGAAGAAAGAGGAGAAAGAGACAGACCTTGGAGAAAATAAAAAGGTAGAAACAGAAGGTGCCAGAGAATAGATAACGAAATTGTGATGCTCATAGACAATGGCACTGTATTCAGTTGTAAAGGAAGACAAAATTTACTGAAAAAAAAAATAGATGTATCTGGAAAGTATAGTGTTAATCAAGGTGACTCAAACTCAAGAAGACAAAAAAATCGTATGCCCTCCCTTAATGCAAATCGTGGCCTGTAATGTATAAATGAACACATATAAACAGATATAAGGGTGAGTGAAGCCTAAAAAACTGGAAAAGAACACAAGAGAGAACTAATCAGTGATGAAAATTGGGTGTTAGTCAAAAGGATGCCTGGGGCACGGAAGAGGAAGAGACTAGAAGGAGACTGCAAGGGGAAGAGGTGAAGTGAGATGTGGGAGCAGGAGGATCATTAACTGGAGAAGAGGGATTTGCAGGAAGGAGGGAGTGCCTGTTAGAGGATGGGAGGAAGATGAAGAGAATGGAGCTGACAAGTAACCAGGAAACACTCTCTATAGAGAGTGTATATTTTACATACATATGAAATTGTTAAATGAATTTTGTACTAGATTTAAATTTTAAAAGAGGGAGAAAGATTAATATATGATGCAAGGCTTATGGGCTCTGAGACCACTTGTAGCTCCAATAAACATAGCACGGCAGATACAGAAGCCATAAGCAATAACAGGCAATGGGAAGGAATTCACTTTCTCTTCCAGAGCTACAGTGTTCCTTGAGATTTGGTTTACTTGGCTGGGTCCTGATCACAGCAGAAATATACTAAGTCTCAAGCCAACTGGTAGAGTGTTAATCTGGAATAATGAAAATCAGAAATGATGGTATACTGTTCTTTTGGAATGTATACAATTTACCCTTGTTCATTCTAATGCTGATTTCTCTCACCCACTATCTGGTTTCAATCTGGACATTGCATTGTGATGTTTATTCTAAGCATCACCTGTCTCAAGTTTGTGTAAACATGCCACCATTTGTTCTCTAAATTGTGAATTAAAACAGCCAGTCACATTGCTGAACAATGGAGAGCATAGGGTGGGACCTCCTGGTCCAGAGTGGGAGGAAGAGGAAGGAAGCAGGGAGAGTGGAGTGAAGAGAATCTGGAGGGAGGTCTTGGAACCAGGTGGAGAAATGAACTAGACCTAAGATATCACTAAAAGCAAGTATAATGGACGAATCTGAATGTTAGGAAACTATATGGGCTTGGAGGTTTAGGATGGAGTAACTATCGCCCAGCATTGTGCTCTAGGTTAATTAAATAAATCCCAGTCTTTGTGTGGTGATTTGGGTATACAGCTGGTTTATGAATAACCGCTGCTTTACTAAAAGATATATCAATAGTAAATATTAAATTCCAAAAACACAGAAAACAAGAGGTTGAGGAGATAGTTCAGTTGCTAAAATACCTGCCTTGCAACCATGAGGAACTAAGTTCAGATCTCCAGTGCCCATGTAATAAGCCAGATATGACTTCTTACCACTGTAGCCCTATTCATGGGGGAATAGAGACAGGCAGAGCCCTAGAGCTCAATGGCCAGCCAGTTTAGTCAGTTTGTGAGCACTAAATTTAGTGAGAGACCCTGTCTCAAAAGATAAGGTGTACAGTGATTCAGGAAGACATCCAATGTTGACCTCTGCCCTCCTTATACATGCACACACGTGTACAAAAACCTGCATGCACACACACATGCAGGGCACATGCATACACTTTATGGAGAAGAAAAAGAAAGTCCTTCTGTGGTGCTCCAGAAGAGTTCATCTTCCCAAGAATGACCAGGAAGCTAGAAAACCATTCTCTTTTTTACTTTTGTGTATTGGTTTGTTTTCATTGGCGGTGGTTGTGGTGGTGGCTGATTTTTTGTTTGTTTGTTTGTTTGGTTGTTTGGTTGTTTGTTTGTTTTTTTTCCCCCACACTACGGGAAACGTAGGGCATTGCCTACGTTTAGGCAAGTGAAATTTAAAAATTATATACCCAGCCCTAGAAAACCATTCCTATCTGTTGCTTAACACCAGTTATTTCAAAGAAACTCAAGCAAAGAGCTTTTTATCCAACCAAATATAATAGCTATGATGATGTGTAACAATCACAATTACTATAGTTTTTTTTTAAGCCTTTATCTTAGCCAGGTGGCCCAGTACTCAGTAGGCAGAGGTAAGTAGATTTCTGTGAGTTTGAGGTCAGTCCAATCTACACATTGAGTTTCAGGCCAGCCAGGGCTGCACAGTGAGACCCTGTCTCAAAAACAAAACAAAATAAAAAAGCAAAGTAAATTAAAGTATAATTAAAAATAAAAAAAGGAAAAAAAATTAAACAATCTAACAAAGCATGGTAAAAAAAAAAAGCATTTATTGTAAATCTGTCTACTTCAGGGGTTTCACAGATTTACCTTGGGTTCTTGTCATTACAGGTAATCACTGTGAATATTGTGTGTCATGTAAATCTAAACATTAGAGAATCTTCTAAACAGCTGTCAGGAAAAAAAAAAAAAGACTGGCAAATTTCAAGGCAACAAAAGGACTAGAAAAGAAGATTCTGTGAATAGTCAAAGAAATTGATCATCACAAAAAGAAAAGCCAGGACTGGAGAGATGGCACAGTGGCTAAGAACACTTGCCACTCTATTCTAGAAAAGTGGAGTTCAGTTTCCAGCACCATGCCAGATGACTCACAACTGACTATAATTCTATCTCTAAAGCATCCTGTATGCCTCTATCCTCTGAAGGCATATGTGCGTGCATGATAGTAGATAAATAATAAAATAAATCTAGAAAAGACTAGCACTGGAGTGATGGCTCGGCAGTTAAGAGCAACGCTTGTTCTTCCAGGGAACCTGGGTTTCCATTTCCCGGCACCTACAAGGCAGCTCACAACCCTGTAGTACTCCAGGCCTGGAGGTATCTAATGCCCTCCTCTGGCCTACAAGGGCACTGCAGTTGAGTGGTCCGCAAACATACGTGTGGGCAAAACACCCAATACACAAAATAATAATAATAAAAAGAAGGAAAGAAAAACTAGAAACACAAAGAAAAATAAAAGGTAAATGATTATTAATAAGGACACCATGTTATGTATCTAACTATATGAAAACCCAGGGACAGGAGGTACCCGGAAAATAGAATGAAGTGTTATATGCTCCTCAGGCATAATGGTAAAGGAAGGCTATCAAGGTGGACTCCGTTGGGCATGCTAAATCGATGATGGGTACCAGGAACAGCCTAAACATTGGAGACAAGAGATTCTAAATACAGAATTTTTTAAATTTTTTATTATTATCATTTATGACAATATGGATTTTTTTAACAGATACTTTAGTCCCAGCACACAGGGAAGCTGAGGCAGGCGGATCTCCTTTCAAGGCTTGGATGTGAGTTCCAGGACATCCAAGACTACACAGAGAATCCCTGTCTCGAAAACAAACAAACAAACAAAACAAACAAACAAACAAAACAAACAAACAAACAAAAAAACCGACACAGTCACATTATGTAGCCCTGGCTGGCTTAACTGCCTGTAGAGGTCAGGCTGGCCTCCAACTGCCACTTAGGTCAGAATGATCTCCAAACCCCAGAGATCTGCCTGCCTCTGCCTCCCACTTCCGGTTTTTGAAGGGCCACACCGAGACAGATAAAACGGTGCACAGTGGCTCCGTGGCTTAAACTCGAGCGTAAAATGGTGGATACTGAAACTGTAACGGAAAACTTGCTACTTGTTTAAGCTTCTGCCTGCATGTTTTTCCAAGTCACATGGCTAGGAGAGGACCGCCCCCAAAATCTTCCCGCCTTTCCAGCGGAAGTTGGGTCTCTCCCGGAAAGGAAGTTTCAAGAGACCCTCCTACCGTGAGAGCTTAATTAGCGTGCGGACCGGGCAGGTCGCACACGGAAGACGAAGCGCTCCGCGAAGGCCTCAGCCCTTCACGTCCATGTCTGGCCCAGAGAGGCATCAGGGCGACAAACGGACAAGTGACCTCCGAAGGTATGGGTTGTTTTAGAAACTTGTAATCTTTTGATGTAGCTATTGGTTCCTTTTTGAAGTTTCTTTCTTTATTTACTGTATATCCCATCACAGCCTCCTCCGTCCTCTCCTCCGAGTTCCACCCACTTTCCCTTCCCGTTCTCTTCAGAAAAGGAGAGCCCCTCCCCCATACCATCAAGTCGCTTCAGAACGAAGCGCATCCTCTCCCACTGAGGCCAGACCGAGCAGCCCAGCTAAGGGAAAGGGATCCAAAGGCTGGCAACAGAGTCCATATTAGAGGCAGCCTCTGCTCCACTTGATAGGGCATCCACATGAAGGTGGCGTGCCCGTCAGTTAACGTATGTGTCCAGTCTACGCTTTTTGATTGGTGCTTCAGTCTTGGTTGGTGCTTCAGTCTCTGAACCATGATGGTCTTGGTTCCTTTTGGTTTGTCTTTGCTGTTAAATTGGAGTCTCCCCGTGCATCCCAGACTAGCTTTGCTCATGCCTAAACCCCAAAAATACAGTGCAGGAATTGGAGGCATCCATTTCACCAGCGGGAGATGGGTTTCTTGAGGTACATATTAAATTCAGGTCTGGAGGTATCTAATATATACCTCTAGACTTGGATATATATATATGTGTGTGTGTGTGTGTGTATTATATATGTATTATATATATGTAATATATATATATATATATATATATATTCCTCCTATACAAAGTTAATGAGTTTTATAGTACAATTAATAGAACTGCCGTAATTTGCACCTCTGCCAACACGTTTTGATTTTTGGTGTTTTTTTTTTTTTCTTTTTTAAGGCCCCAATTTTTTATTACGATGGAACAAGCTTTACAGGAAACTTTGGAGCGGACAGATGGTATTATTGAAACCATCGAGCAGCAGCCCCCTCCTTCGAGACTCTTGTCTAGTGAGGAAAAATCTCTTCATGAAAAACTGTATGACATTTATGTTGAGGAATGTGAAAAAGATCCTGAGGCAGAGGGCCTTCAAAGCAATGTCAACTTGCTAAAGAAACTTATGAAGAAAGAGTCGTTGGCATGTTTAGTGGTCAACCTGTACCCTGAAAATCAGGGCTATTCTCTCAAGCTCAAGGACAAACATGGAGTCCTTGTAGAGCCCTTTCCAGTGAAAAGTGGGTCATTTTCAGAGACTTTTCATTTGCCTTATGATGTAGAGAAACTGCTCGAATATTTGGATGCTGAAGAGTTACCTTCTCTTCTGATTGATATCCTGAAAAAGTCTCCTGTGAATGTTTTTCACCATGGCTGTGTCATAGCAGAAATCCGAGACTACAGGCAGTGCAGAGACAACATCTACCCTCCTGGGGAGCTTTGTGCAGAGCCCGCTGTGTCACCCGCTGAGTCTTCTGCCTACCAAACACGGCATGTTCTATTGCGTCCCATGATGTATCACAGTGATGTGGAGTCCATAACATGTGATAACCATCAGTGGACTGAGGAAGAGAAACTTGAGCTGAAGAAGCAACTGATTTTAGCTACAGAGGACCCCTCTGTTGCTGTCACCTACACAGCCAATGACCTGCTGTTTAATGAGCAGAAGATGATGACAGACTCCATGAGACAAGGCTTCAAGAGGCATGCATGCCCCTCTATGGATCAACAGGAGGTACCATCTGGCTGTATTTGTCCCCCTGGCCTCACAACAATGACTCCTTTCAAAAAACAGGCAAAAATAAGAACAGATGACCCATATGACCTGAATATTGCTGGAGCAGAAACACGGAAGCAGAGACTCCGTGAGCTGACTATGCCTTCAGAGATGGATATGCAGAAATACGTTAAAGGGATGCCATCTCTGCTCTTTGATGATGAAGAACCAAGCGTACTGGCAACTCCTGAGGTAAACTATGATTATATGTGTGATAACGAGGATGGCAATCAGCTATGGGAAATGAATCCAGATATCATGAAGTCCCTTAATGAACCACTTTTCTCTGCTGAAATAGGGCCACTTCCAGAGGACAGAAGTGATAGCCACATGTATCTGCCTCACATCTCACTGGATGATTATTCAGATGAGTTCATGGCTAGGGTAAACACTGGGCCTAGGGAAACAGTGGGTGTGTACCAGGGATCTGTCCAGAGCAAAGCCACATGTCCAGGCAAGATCCCTCAGAGGTCTAGTAGCTCAGTCCGTCCTCCTCAGCCCTCCCTGGGGATGAACCCCACAAGCAGTCTGGTGCCATCCTTAGAGAAGGAAAGCAGCCTTCCACTAGGTGCACTTGCTCCCATCTCAAGACGGGGCTCCTCAGCTATCAGCTGTGATCGAGACACACCATCTGACTCTAAGGCAATCCCTGTGGTCCAGCAGACCACTGTGAGAGAGAGCAGGGTTAGCACCCTTCCTGAAGCTGGCCAATCCAATGTGAGGTCATCAGAAACCAACCCAAAGGCCCAGCACTCCCCCAGAACCACTGGTGTGAATCTGATCGATATGGTAAAGTCTGTGCCAAAACCTCGTCTGGTGAGTAATTTCACTCAGGTCCTAGGCTGCTCCACTAGTGTCCCAGCTGCTAAGGGAATCACTCAAAAGAGCTTTCTACTAACTAGGAAGGTGCTAGCTGGGCCAGCACAGTGCACTGTGAAGTCACCTATACAACTCATTATAAATAATACGTCAAAACCCCTAATTGTAAAGCCTCCCCCTGGTTCTATCATTTTGTGCTCAGAGCCTCCGAATCCTTCCCAGGGACAGCTGCAGCAACCAGAGCATATATATGTTTTGATCCCCCAAAAGCAGCAGCTACCCAGGGATCCTGTCCCCCCACAGACAGTGTCATCAGCTTCCTCCCAAGGGTCTAACCCTGAGCAGTTGTCCTTGCCTCAACAAACCAATCACCTTAACACTGAGCAAACTGCTCTCCTTAACACTGGTGAGACGAGAGTGATTCAACAGACCCAGACATCTGTGCTGAGTGAGGTAGGTTCCACCCAGCAGAGTCACATGCAGAACTCTCATTCACAGAGCTTTCCGCTCTCTGACCCTATTACAGCAGCAGCAAACCCAGACCTAGAATAGAAGTGCAGGGAAGAATCATACCACACAAAGTGACTGTGTCCAGAGTAAGGCACTCAGTGCTCTCACTGTGGGCATGCAGCCAGCAAACCCAGTGAGAGAGGAACAGGGGGCCCACCAAAACCACCTGAATTAAGATCCTGAATCTTAATTCTCTTTCAAATGCATCAGCATTGAGCTAAGTCATTTCTCAGTCTCTACTTCATCGCTGGTGTTTGGAATGTTCCAATATACTAGTTTAAAATGGGGGGGGGCACACAATGCCCAACTTTTACATAGAAGCAGGGAAGGGATTTTAAAAACTGAGGCTTATTATCCTTTTTGCTCTTGATATAGTCATGTTTAGTATAGTGTCCAAAATTTGTTAACTTTAGTCTCCTCCCGATTCTCATTTCCATAAGCATTAAAGCTGGAGATTGGGCTGAACCAGGGGCTCAGCAGCTAAGAGCACTAGCTCTTTCAAGGACTGGAGTTTGGTTCCCAGCACTGATGTCAGGTGCCTGGAAGCTTGTCTGTACCCCACCCCATCACACCAGCACCTTCTCACACCCACCCCCTCCAGAAGATCTGATACTCCTCCGGTCTCTTGAGGGACTGACGTGCATGTGCCACTCCCACACAAATATAATTTAAAAATAAAAATAGGAACCGCAGAGATAGCTTAGAGGTTAAGAACATTTGTTGCTTTTGCGTAGGAACTGGGTTTACTTTTCAACACCTACATGGTGGCTCACAACCATCTATAACTCCAGTTCCAAGGAATCTGACACCCTCTTCAGACCTGCAGGCTCACCAGGTAGCCACACGGTGCACAAACATACATGCAGGCAAAACTCCCAAGCATATAAAGTTAATATTTTTTTAATAATAATAATGCACTTTTAAGTTTATAATTTAGGAATAACAGGCTTATTTGCAAATGGTGATAAAAATAAATACACATTTTTCTGTTGAGGGAGAAGTGTAGCCTTCTCAATGATTTTCTTTTGGGGGGGTTGTTTTTCTTGGGTTTTTTTTGTTGTTTTGTTTTTTGGGTTGTGTGTGTGTATGGTTTTTTTTTTCCAGTTTTTTGAGAAAGGGCTACTGTGTGTAGCCCTGGCTGTCCTGGAACTCACTATGGAGACCAGGCTGGCCTCAAACTCACAGAGCTCCGCCTGCCTCTGACTCCCAAATGCTGTTATTACAGGCATGTACCACCACCTGGCCTGATTTAACAATTTCAAGGACACAGCTCAGTCTTAGTAAATAACAGTCCCATTGCTGTGCAACCTAGTTCTAGAACTCTTTTGTTTTTCAGGATTGAAACTCTGCACCTGTTAACTATCAAGTCCCTGTTTTCTGTTCCCTGCCCTTGGCTGCCACCCTTTTGTCTCCAGGAACCTTAGTGTGCACAGCACATCATATGTGTGGAAACAAGGGAGGAGGGCTATTATTTCAGGCCACCTTTTTTCACTTGACAAGATATCCCCAAGGTTCATGTATGCTGTGCCTTGTGACAGAAGGTCATTATCAAAAGAGACCAGATAAAGTTTGTCACACTGAAATGGAGTGCAGCGTAGGCTTGCACTCCTACGCAAGGGATTTGGTGGCAGACTTGTTTGATGGCCACCCAGCCCTGGGAAGGTTTCCCTGTACTCAGAGCTCTGGCAGACCCCAGCTCCCCTCCAGACCCTGACACTGGCCTGGAAAAGGCCCTCCCTCTGGGATGGCTTGCTGTGGCTTTCCACGTAAAACCATTTACATGTTTTAGAACCTTCTAGGTTACTTGCACAAGGGAGATAAGCACTTGAAAACAGTCCTCTTGTGCTTCTTCAGTGCCCAAAGCCTTGTGAGGCTGTTAAGTGGGTGTCTTCCTCCTCTGCCTTCCTGTCCCCTCCCCCCTTGTTTGTTCCCCATCAGTTGTTTAACATTTGCTGCCTGCTCACCTCATCTCCGTTTTCCTTGTTTCAGTGAACTGAACTGCTGCGTGCTTCAGAGAGTTGAAGTGTTATCAGCTCTGTAACAAATGTTCATCCAAAGCAAGGTGCAGCCCCTTAGCATTCATGGCTTTGGCAGTGCTGTGTAGGCAGCCTCTGTCCAAAGCGTGCTCAGCACTTCAAAAGAAGGCCTGGGCCTATTAAGCACTGAGCAGGAAGGCATCCTCCTCCTACTCCCAGCCACAGGCAACCATCAACTTGCTTTGTGCCCCTACGAGTTTGATTGTTCGCAGTGTTTATATTAGGCGAGTTATACGGTGTTTTACACAACTTTGTACTTTGTGTGTCGGCCTTTGGCCAGGTGTTTGGTGTTTATTCCTATTGTAACATGTACCAGCACTTGGATCCTTACTCATTCCCTTGCCTGTGTATGTTTTACTGTTCATGTTTTGTTCTCTGGTGACTCTTAAGGATAACCTGCCTACATGAAACTTGCTTTTGTAAGTGCACATGTATGTTTATTTGCCTTTTGCCCTAAGAAGAAATGGAAACTTGGTTTGTCTGGTCAGTTCTGAAAGATTAGCAAAGGGACAGGTAGCAGTGATTGTTACCTGGCATAAACCGACACTGAGGTCCTGCTGGTGCTCTTCAACAAAGATTTGACCTCCTCAAGCAAGCTGGTCACATTTGCCACCAGAGTGACAGCAAGCTGACCAGGAGGAGCATCCTGGACATGGCCGGGAGTGGGTGCCTGCACTTGTACGAAGTGAACTGGCCCAGTGAGCAGTTGCAAAGAACTTAAGCTCAGCCTTCAGAGCCAAGCAGATCTGACATCAGCATGCTGCCAGTTTGGGTGTCCTTCTTCCTTTTGCTCTGTAACTGGTCCATTCAGGTACAATAAGTAGAACGTTTTACTTGAGTGATGTGCTTTTCAGACAAGCAAATAAAATCACCTTTGTTTCCAGTTACCATTTAGTGGCATCATTTTTTCCCTTCCAGTGATTCTCATTGTGGTGACAATTTGTTTCTATCCAGGATCCTATTCCCATATTTCTTAACTCCCAACTGACAGCAGTATAGTTATTTGTCTTTGTTGAATGAAGCTGGTGTTGCTGAAATGTTACCAGGTGGCCCTGTTGTTTAGAGAAAAATGAGTCTTACCAGTAGTGGACACGTTGGTCTTTGCAATCCTTTCTTTTTTGAGATTATAATTACATCATTTCCCCCTTCCCTTTCCTCCCTTCAAACTCTCCAATATACCCGTTCTTGTCCTCTTTCAAATTCATGGCCTCTTTTTTCATTGTTATTGTATACTTATATGGATATGCATATATATGTATATATATATTCTTTAATACATAAATACATGTTGCTTAGGTGTATGTTTTCAGGGCTGACCATTTGCTAATGGATAACCAATTGGTGTTCTCTTCCCAGGGGTAGACTATTTCCCCCACTCTCAGCATTCTGTAGTTACCTGTAGTTCTCTGTGTATGGTTGAGACCTTACATGTTAATAGTGGAGTTTTTATTACATTTGTGTGTGTGTGTGTGTGTGTGTGTGTGTGTGTATCAGCCACGGTGAACATGGAGCAGTTGAGGACAACATATGGGAGTTAGTTCTCTCCCTCCACCTATGTGTCCAAAGGGATCAAACTCAGATCATCAGGTTTAGCAGGAAGTGCTTTACCTGCTGAGCCACCTCACCAGTCCCATATCGGTGTTTTAAATAAATACCGTTTTGGGTCAAGTTGAATACAACAATCCTCCTTATCAAGGATGTTCATATATCACCTGTAAGAAAAATGTACTCAGCTGCTTGAAACACCGAGGTCATAAAATCGAAGATGCATCTATCCCTTTGCCCATTCTTGGGATGTGGAAAGCACAGTTGTTTCACGTGGTTTCACCTAGTCCTTGAAAGAACCTCATGCAATTTTAAAAAAGAGGAAGCAAGGTGGCAGCCTGAATCATGGGCTCAGGATTATCCAGCTGGGAAGCACCAGAGGCCAGATTTGGGCTCAAGCCTCCTGAGGTCAAATCTTCTTTCCCACACTGTTCTCTCCACTGCCTCACTAATGACAAGGCTGACCATTTGGGCAGACGGGAGCGCTGCACAGCAAAGATGTTGCTAGAATTACTTTAAGTACACCAGAGCTGGTTTTGTTGTTGTTGTTTTGGTTTGGGTTTTTTTGTTTTGTTTGTTTTGAGTAGTTGTTGCCCAAGTTCATCCTGCCCACCTACAGAATTCTGCGTTTCCTAATAAGAGACTGGGGGACTTAAAATGGCAGACCACATCGTAATGATTGTTGTCACCTTGTTCTGTCCCCTTGAGTTGCCTGGGAGTGGCATGTTCTTCAGGGATAGGCCTAATAACTGGTCAGTCCTGGTGAGTAAGTATTTCCATCCTACCATTGTAAATTTTTATTATCTATAACAGGTGTGGTTAGTGGACTACTTTCCTTTGGGGTATTTTGGAGGCAGTGCGCCTTAAGCTAAATTCCGCTTGTGTGACTTAATGTCTCCTAAGCAGATCTATTAGTACATCCTTCATATAACATCAGTTCTATAATGTTGAGTTTCTTCTGCATCAACGGGAGCACCTACCAGTTAAAATACTGTATAAGGCATGCCCCAACATTAAAAATATAAATTTCCAGGTGTGATAATTCATGCTTGTAATGTCAGCATGTGGGAGTGTGAGATAGAAGGATTGATTGCCTGTAGTTCAAGGCTAGCCAGTGCTACAGAGTGAAGCCCAGTCTCAACAGTGGTCCACAAAACAGAACTATGAGGGGTCTAAGATTTTTATCCTGCTTGTAAAACAAGTTAGCCTACTATCATTTCATGAATACTGGAAGAAGATGCAAGAATATTTTGCCAAGACAAAGGACATCATTGTATATAATGTGGCAAACAACATGAGATATGGTTTACATTGATTCCTTTCTCTCTTAAGTCCCATGAAGGTAACAGGAACATGGGCCCGGGTAAATGTTGTGCATGCAGTAGATACATGTTACAGCTGAGGGAGCCAAGCATAGAAAGAAACCCTTAGTAAGATCCCTAGTGCTAAAATAAAAGTGGACAACAACAAAGTGACAGAGGAGAGGGCTGGAGAGATAGGTTACATGGTAAAGTGCTTGCCTTGCAAACATTAGGACCTGAGCTCAGTCCCCAGAATCCACATTAAAAAAAAAAGACAGGTTTGTTGATGCACAACCATAATCCCCACACTGTGAAGGTAAAGACAAGGGCATCTCTGGGGTTCCATAGCTAGCCTAACCTACTTGAAAGCTCTGGATCCGTGAGAGCGCCTGTCAAAAAGTGAGGTAGGTGACTCTAGAACAGCAGTTCGCAACCTGTGACTCGAGAGTCTTTACTCCTTTGGCAAACCTCTTATCTCCCAAAATATTTACATTATGAGTCTTAGCAGTAGGAACATAAATAATTTTGTGGTTGGGGGTCACTACCACATGAGGAACTGTATTAAAGGATTGCAGCGTTAGGAAGGCTGAGAATCACTGCTCTAGAGGAATGGCATTTAATGATCTCCCCGTGTATATGTGCACATGTGAGCAACATTACATGCACCAACCCACACGTGCAATACAATTACAGAAGGAACCAGGTGTGGTGGCACAGGTCTATAATCCCAGTGTTGGAGGCAGGAGGATCAGGAGTTCAAGGCCAGTCTGGGCTATGTGAAGTCTTGCCTTTAAAAATTAAAAGATTAAATAAAATAATAATAATAATAAAAAAAACAACGATGCACCTGCCTGGCTCAAAAGATAGACAGAGGCACAGGTCAAGGAAAGAAGAGACTGTGTCATAAATATCTGTCTTTAGTAAAAGAAGCCTAGCTATAGAACATATAAAGGAGATCTGGGATCTAGTCTTTAAAACTGTCCACATTTACAGGTTGGGAAGAATGTACACTGGGAAAGAGACTGAGAAAGAGTGACAGATGGAAGGGTGGGAGGCTGGAGGGATTGTTTCAGGTTAAAAGGCTTGCCTTGCAAACCTAAGGACCAAAGTTCAAAGGATCCACAGAACCCACAAACGTGCAACAGACCCACCCGGAAGAAGCTGGCTAGCCACATCAAAGTGCTCTGGGGTTGACTGCGAAACCCTGCCTCCCTGAGTGAGGTGGAGGAGTGACGGAGGATAATGCCCAAGCTCAGCTTCCAGTCTCCACATGCAGGTGCACACATAGGCAAGCACCAACCCCCCCCCACACACACACACACGTGCATACCACACACACACATGTAAAGAATGTAAAAAGGGCAAGAAATGGCCATAACATCCCTGCACCCACAAGTGCCCTCTCCCCCGGAAAAAAAAAAAAAAAGTCTACAGGTAAAAATGAGCTGAGCAACAGAACT